TCTTTTTTTACCTCATACAGACAGTCTTGCTCTGGTAGAGTAAGGGGAGGAGAGTGAGTGAGCGGCTCTGTGGTGCTTAGTTGCCGGCTGAGGTTAAACCATGACACTGCCTCACCTTTGCACTGGCATTTGCACTCCCACTGCAGAGGGTCACAGCCTGCTGGGGAACCTGCCTCTGGCCACAGTGTGCAAACTGGGGCAGTTGGAAATAAGAGGAGGAAAAAGATGTTTATGGATTTTCCCCCAAATAAGAAAACCTTTCCCTCCACTTGGTGCTTGTCATAGTCAGTGCTACAGCTCAGAGCTTGCTTTGCCTCTTCTGAACTGTAGCACATGTTCATGTGTAGGAACCAGGGGAAATCAGGTATCAGCATCTCTCTGGCAGCCCCACTGGGGCCTGGATCTTGGATGTTCACCTCCTTTCCATTGACATCTGCTTCTGGGGCCTCATCTGCAGTGCAGGACAGCGGCGTGTCTACGGACATCCGAGACCCTTACAAAACGGAGCAGGGAATAGGGCATTACGCATTTACCGTTGAACTAAGCTGCCTCCCCCTCCTCTGGGCCAAACCAGCTTAGCTTCAGGCCAGTGGTTGCAGGGAGACAGTGATCGGGGGGGAAAGGAAAAGGGCTTTCAGATAGTCCCGTACATGTGTCACGCGGCTTTTGCTTCCCTGTCATCCCCACCCCGGCTACCACCAGAGCTGCCTGTCCTCCCAGCTGCCTCCGGGGACTCGGCAGTCCAGCACAGGGTTTGTTTCCAGCCATCAGGCAGGCCAGGCATGCAGGCAGTGGTATTTTTAGCCTCTGTCTCAGCTGTAGTGGTAAAGGTTAATACATCCCCTCCCGTATTTGTTCGAGAGGCTCCAGAGAGAGGGACAGAGCCTATTTCACCTATTTAAATGCAGCAGGAGGACAGAGAAGGTGGCTGTCAAAGTCTGTCCCCTTTCACACCCAGACAGCGCATCAGCTCTGCTCCCAGCGTCGTCGTCTGATCACCGCAATTAGTGTTGGAAAGTAGAAGAAATGGTGAATACCTACTGTTGCCAGGTAACAGCATCCACCGTGCTGCCAGCCACTTTCATGAACCTATAGGAAACAGAAGAAGAAACTGTTTAAGCCCAATGTTGTCACACGCGAAGTCCTACAACAACCAATGCCCACCCTACATCACAGGATACCAAAGGCGGTCACTGCACTCACAGACCCTTTCTGATGAAACCTTTGCATCCTTAAATGGAAAGAATAAATTATACTTAATACAAATGCTTGTAGCAAGCACAGCTGAGAATAACGGAGTGAAACCCAGCTGGCAGCAGAGCTTTAAGCATCATTTTGGGGCAGATAGGGAGAGTTTTGGAGCACAACAGCATTTCAGGAACAAGATCTTGGGGTATGTACTTAGTTCTACGACTGCAACTACCCTAGTAGTGATTAAAGAAAAAGTTTTAAATGCTCATCTTAAAAGGAGACACTTCTTCACCCAACATGTATTTAAGCTGAGGAACTCCTTCCCTGGACTCAAGCAAGGACTGGGAAAATGGAAGAAAATGGAAGAAAAAAACAGCAAACCTATTAGATGCAAAGATGCCACCTCCAGCTCAGGAAGCCCCTGAGCATTGGAGGATGGGAGGAAAGGCTGGACAAAATCTGCTACGTGCTTCCCTTTTTTTGATGCTCTTTCTTGGGCATTGGCTGTTAGCAAACTGATGGGATTCCAACCTGGGTGCACTTTTAGTCTGCCCCGTTCCTATTACTAACCACAGCACTTCCATGCACAAGGTTACAGTGAGTTACGTGTATGTATTAGTCTCCTGATGGCTTATGACCCAACTATCTTTAAAACAATACACCTCCTCCAGACAGCTCCTATTTGAGTCAGACGTGAAGCTACACAGGTATATCTGCTGACGCTGCTGATGCCAAAACCAAAGCAACTCCTCATCTTGGGGACTGTGTGTGACCACTGCAGCAGCAGCCTCTGGCACAGGCTTGCTGCCATCCAAGACAGTCCCTCCCTGGCTCCCTGGTCCAGCAATCCAAACTGCACCTTGGAAAACTGCGGCTCCCAGGAGGAAGCCCAAGCAGTTACTCTATTCTTACGCTTAGGAGCAGAGATATGAAAACACACAAAGGCACACACCAACTGGACAGGCACGCTTTTCTGTTCAGTAGTGTAACGTGCACTGCGTAGCTGATGCATTTTGGAAGCGATAATGTATGCACATGACAGGAGACATTGGCTTGAGCAAGTGAACGTGATGAGAAAAACCGATGCTGTATTGTCTCAGGCTGCTCTTTGATGCACAGGGATCCCGGGAACACAACAGGAATCACACAGCTGTCCAGACTCCACCAGGACACAGGGAGTGGCGGTCTCTTTGATGCACAGGGATCCCGGGAACACAACAGGAATCACACAGCTGTCCAGACTCCACCGGGACACAGGGATGAGTGGCGGTGGGTCCTGCGACCCCAAATCCCCCAGGACAGCCCCATGACTGAGGGTGGGGAAGGAAAGGGAAGGTTTGTGAGGAGACATGAGACCTTCTATCAGACCAGTTGTCATGGCAGGGAAGAACAGCAAGCTTTCCGGCACACGAGCCTCTAATCAGGTCTGAAACAAGAGCAGCAAACTTCAGGCTAAATATAGCTTGGAAACAATCATTCTGACTTTAAATTAATGACGATGGTCAATTATAGACTGGGACAAAAGGGCAGCTGGACCCTGTGAAGCATAAGAAGACACTGGCAAAGGCAGTGGTAATAAATCCCCGCGGACAGAGAGGGAAGAGATACAATTAGAAATGGAAAAACAATAACATGCTGTAAAACCCTGTAGCACTGATGCATCCCTGATTCTGCTGCCTAGCAGTGCTGTGAGCTTCAGTTCCCAGGCTCGCCTTTCAGAAATGCTTTTACATCTCTCCTGAGGGTCAGGCCCGGGAGGCCAGTACCAGGGCAGTGGTTTGGGGATGGTTCCTCCCCAGCTGAGCAGGGCAAGGAGACCAGCTGGACCAGCCATGGTGCAGCCAGAGGGAGAGGTGCAAGCTCCCCGCAACTCACATGGGTCATCTGGCAAAAAGGGGATTTTGCAAATATTGTTCTACAAATCTAAGTGTGCGGAAATATGCCAAAAGGATCAAAAGACCCAACTCTCAGGTTTTAAATGCTCAGTACAGGGACCGCTGCCTAAAATGTAACGCATGAAGTGTACAAGAGTGAGCTAATGAACTCTAAACTGAAATTACGAACACAATCCATATTGTGTTTGAAGATCGATATATTGCAATTGGGTTTGAAGATTAGCCCAGCTTGCTTTCTAACCTCAAATGCTTTATGTTCTGGCTACAAAATAAACCACCCTGGACTTTACTAAATCACCTCTTCAGGCTCAGGTTGGCACTCTCCACTCGCAGTCCAAAACCATGAGCAGACCGAGCTCGGGAGAAACAGCTCTCCGGTTTTCCTTGCCATTTCCACAGTGCCTACAGCCCTGCTGCAAACACACCCGCTACAGTGGACTTTGAGCAAGGACTGAAAAGCAAAGCAAACCCTTGGTATAACCTCCAGCATCCCTGGAGCAGCAGAAGCAGGACATCTCTCTGTCCCATCTCCCATGTCTCTAGGAAGCTAATTGACCTGTTGTTAAAAAGCTCCTGAGAAAATGTTGTTCTAGGACACAGGCGGCACTCAGGCAGCACAGTACAGACCAAAAGCAGGACAGAAAAGGCCCTGGCTTGCTTAGTGTTCCTCTTCTGTCTCCGTAAGAGTGAAATAAATCAGTTAGTTCTGGTCATTTTCAAATTTTACCATAAAAGATGCATATCTAGCTCAAATTTTGCTTTCCATGTCTGTTTTTCTTTCTTTCTTTTTTTCTTTCTTTCTTTCTTTCTTTCTTTTTCCTTTTATTGAGATTTTTGCAGGATGAAGTTCAAAAGCTCTTGGTAAAACTTCAAGTCCTGCCTTAATGGTGGAGTTGTGCCTGAAGCACCCCAGATGACTTGGGCAATGGTCTCTACCCTCCAAAGGGAACCTAGAGCTGTTGGCTCAACAGCCAACAAGTGGTACTGCACATGCAAGAGATGAAAGCCCAGGGCAGGTGGAGATGCAGTGATGCACAGGTATCCGAATATCCTCAGCTTAGGAATACAGGTGTTACTAATCCCTTTATTCCTGTAGCACCTGTGCTGCTCAAACCACAGATTTTGAGGCCAGTGAAGATCCATAAGGTCCAAATGACCAGCGCTGGCACATTTTTATCTGGGATTTCCTGGACTGCACGATGTCCATGTGTGCAGTGCAGCACAGGCAGAGCAAACCAGATGCTTCCAGGAGGGCTCAGATCCCTGCACAATGTGCTGCACAGATGGGCTGGGCTGGCGCAGTAAATCTGCCATTTTCCTACACGTTGGCCTTTCTCTGTGAGCACCAATCGACCGCGCAGCGCATGTGCAGTTAATCCCCCCCCAGGAGCAGTGGGACAAGCTGAGCCCATGCTGTGCAGGCAATGTGGGCAACTACCGTAGCGATGCCCTGTAATTCAGATGGGTGGCAGCCCCAGGGCATGCCCGTGCGGTATTCCTGGCTGGACTTCCACACATCAGACACCTGGGCAAACGCAAAAGCCCTCAAAATCTGCTGGGGCAGCATCTCTAGGTGGGAAAACAGAACATGTCAGAGGCCCGTGGAGGAACAGGAGCCTCGGGCAGGGCAGCACCTCACAGGGCGATGCCCTGTAATTCAGATGGGTGGCAGCCCCAGGGCATGCCCGTGCGGTATTCCTGGCTGGACTTCCACACATCAGACACCTGGGCAAACGCAAAAGCCCTCAAAATCTGCTGGGGCAGCATCTCTAGGTGGGAAAACAGAACATGTCAGAGGCCCGTGGAGGAACAGGAGCCTCGGGCAGGGCAGCACCTCACAGGTCAGGAACGAGCTGTGGGAGAGGGGGGCAGGAGGGCTGCAACACTACAAGATTATACTAACACCACAACTCTAATTGTGAAACCAGATGCTTCCAGGAGGGCTCAGACCCCTGCACAATGTGCTGCACAGATGGGCTGGGCTGGCGCAGTAAATCTGCCATTTTCCTACACGTTGGCCTTTCTCTGTGAGCACCAATCGACCGCGCAGCGCATGTGCAGTTAATCCCCCCCCAGGAGCAGTGGGACAAGCTGAGCCCATGCTGTGCAGGCAATGTGGGCAACTACCGTAGCGATGCCCTGTAATTCAGATGGGTGGCAGCCCCAGGGCATGCCCGTGCGGTATTCCTGGCTGGACTTCCACACATCAGACACCTGGGCAAACGCAAAAGCCCTCAAAATCTGCTGGGGCAGCATCTCTAGGTGGGAAAACAGAACATGTCAGAGGCCCATGGAGGAACAGGAGCCTCGGGCAGGGCAGCACCTCACAGGTCAGGAACGAGCTGTGGGAGAGTGGGGCAGGAGGGCTGCAACACCACAAGATTATACTAACACCACAACTCTATATTGTGAAACCATGGCTCAAATCTGACCTTTCCCAGAGCATCTCCCATAGCCACATCTCCCAGAACCGCAACTTTCACTTGAGTGTCCATCTCCTTACCCTTGCAACTGCCTGTGTGCCAGCACCCCATGCCAGCATTACTACTTGTGGGGCCTGTGTTGAGCTACAACTGAAGCTCAAGCTTGCTTTTAAATAATCACTGAGAAAAATGTAATTTAACATTGATCAGTCACCTAAACAGTTCACAGCTCTGTCCCCGAAACGGTAATACTGGCATAACATAGGACAGCACCTCACAGATCAGGAACGAGCTGTGGGAGAGTGGGGCAGGAGGGCTGCAACACCACAAGATGATACTGACACCACAACTCTATATTGTGAAACCATGGCTCAAATCTGACCTTTCCCAGAGCATCTCCCATAGCCACATCTCCCAGGACTGCAACTTTCACTTGAGTGCGGGCAGGTCTCTGAAATAGATCTCCTGTCCTGATTCAATACTCGCCAGTCACGGAGCACCTACTGCAACCTTAAGCAAATTGCTCCCATGGTTAATTAGCCTCCAAGTATGTTATTTCTCATCTGAATGTGTCTGGCTT